CATTACAAAACTGCTTCTACCCTTTAACCCCTGGAGAATATCTGTCTCGGAACTGTAAATCAAGAATCGTGACAAGAAATTCGGCTTTATGAAACATGATTACGGTCACTGGAGGTCAGTTCCTGAGATATAAAATCATTAGTAAGATATAATTTCTTCACACGCATACTGCTTGATTTAGTGTGATTAGAATCTAAGGTTAATTGATGTATGAATACGCAACGTGATAATAAAAAGTTATCTTAATAATGACTTGCATCCAGCACAGAATCGGAATTCATGCTGAATTTTTTTTTATCTAAATAAGACAATTTTTATAAAAATTCTTCATCCACTAGAGAAAGATATTTAAAGCATTTTTATATAGCTTGTGTATGAACTATGATCACACTGTAAGACACGTTTCTTCCCTTTAGATCAATATTCAGAGACAATTCAGTTTTCTGGAAACAGTGGCGGCGCCCCAATAGGAAAATGGTTTGCACCCTACGGAGGTTCAAAAAAACGTTTTTGAATTATTGAAGTTCGAATTTGTAAAATACTTTTGAATTTAAAAATATACTTTTGCATTTGAAAAAATTCTTTTGACTTTTTAAAAATTCCTTTGAATTCTTTTGAATATGTAAAAAGTCTTTTGAATTTGTAAAATATAGCAGCTTACCAGGCAAGGTAACATACGCCCACTGATAGCTTTGATTGTAAGTACAAGTCTTTGTTTGCTGCCCATTCAATTGTATTCAAGAGTGAGCATGAGTTGCAATATAGTGAAACGTCAAATCAGACACGATATTTCGGTGAAAAATTATCCGATCATCACGAAAATCGATAGGGATCATCTTCATAATGGCATTGACACACAAAATCAAAATCAAAAGAATCTGTAAAGAATTGTAGCCTGTAGAGTGGGCACGAACCAAATGTGAACGGACCGACCGACCGACCGACCGACCGACCGACCGACGGATGATTACAATATAGGCCCATCTTATGTGTGGGCGTATAAAAATTCTTTTGACTTTGTAAAATTACTTTAGACGACCATATCCCGTTAACTAACGATGATAATGGTGTAAATAAAGGATATTAAAACTTCCTTATTCGGTCGTGAAATGCTAATGGTCTTAAATGGTGCAAATAAATGGTTTTAATGCGATATTCTGTATTCAGACTGCTAATGGCTTGAAATGAATCCGAAATATAAAAGTTATAGATATGATATAACAATAACAATATTAATATCATGCTTTTAATGGAATCCTCATCCTAAGGTATTTTAACTCAAATACCTTCCTGCTTGTATTTGGGTTACTTGAACATAAAAGCATAATTGTTACAACGATATTGGCAGCTGGTAATTCTTATAGGTTAAATTTATTTTTCTCACTATTGATCTTTCGAAATATCCTGCTTGGTGCTGGACACAATGGCTGTGCTCTGTCGTCAGAAGGTATAATCATACACACATAAAATCATTAAGAAGTGTAATCAGAATCCTATTTACTACATAATCCGAAACGAAACAGACAATGCAACCTATTGAAGAATAAGTCAATCTGATTAAATGGGATATGTAAGTTTCAATACAGCGTTTTTCAGCCATCCATGGTCTTACGAGATTTTGAATTTGACCTATTAAGCGTTAACATAGTTTAAGCTAACCAATCAAAATCATTGTTCAAGAGGTTAGACGATAAAATTTGGGGAGGGGGTGTCTTTGATTTTGTTTGTTTTTTGTTTTTAGTTTATTGTCTGCTTCCGGCTGCCTGTGTCGGTCAATGTCTGTATGCCATTGTCCGTGCCTGTCTGTCCCTCTCGAATAGGTCGATATTTTACCAGATTTAGGCCTGTCCTTCGATCTGTGGAAACTACTCACATCTCTATTCATTCATTTTTTATTTTTATTGAAATAATGAAACGTGTACTCAAACCAGTTTGTGATCTTAATCAAAATCCAGAAGTTATCATCATTATATTTCAATTGATATGAAATGGAGCTTTACGTCGTTTTTTTTTTTTTCTTTTTTTTGTTTTGAGATAGCTTATGTTGTAAGGGACATTCTGCCTCTTTTTTTTCAATCTCGCTTTTGTGCTTTCAAGCTTCACCCACTGGAAAATTAGAGCAAAGAAAAAAACCATAAAAGTCGAATAAATTTTACATAATATATAATTATCACTTCTATCGGTATACCGGAAAATAGTTTCTCGGCGTAAATTACTGGTTGTCTTATTGGTGATAATGAGGCATGAATCAAGGGTCAATGTAAATATAAGACAATGACCAACATAATTGAATAATTAAACGAGACTTACTTGTTAGTTTAAGTTTGATTGTGGTTCTACCGAGTCATGGACAGGAACGGAGTGGTCAAGTGAGAAGCGCCAAAGCTGTAACCGTCAGTATTTAAAGATGAAGGAACACATAATCCATATACTTTATGTTTCAAATTATTACATAACATACATTATCAATGCAATACACACTATTTGAACAAAACTAAAACATATACTTTATGTTTCAAATTATTACATAACATACATTATCAATGCAATACACACTATTTGAACAAAATTAAAACATATACTTTATGTTTCAAATTATTACATAACATGCATTATCAATGCAATACACACTATTTGAACAAAACTAAAACATATACTTTATGTTTCAAATTATTACATAACATGCATTATCAATGCAATACACACTATTTGAACAAAACTAAAACATATACTTTATGTTTCAAATTATTACATAACATACATTATCAATGCAATACACACTATTTGAACAAAATTAAAACATATACTTTATGTTTCAAATTATTACATAACATGCATTATCAATGCAATACACACTATTTGAACAAAACTAAAACATATACTTTATGTTTCAAATTATTACATAACATGCATTATCAATGCAATACACACTATTTGAACAAAATTAAAACATATACTTTATGTTTCAAATTATTACATAACATACATTATCAATGCAATACACACTATTTGAACAAAACTAAAACACATACTTTATGTTTCAAATTATTACATAACATACATTATCAATGCAATACACATTATTTGAACAAAACTAAAACATATACTTTATGTTTCAAATTATTACATAACATACATTATCAATGCAATACACACTATTTGAACAAAATTAAAACATATACTTTATGTTTCAAATTATTACATAACATACATTATCAATGCAATACACACTATTTGAACAAATCATATTATCAGATTAACAAATAACTAAAAAGCTCTGAAACACAAGTTGCTCTAAAACAAGCCTAAGATGAGTTCATTTGAGTACAGATTCTCCAAAGTTTCCATTTTCTAACACTTTTTTACTATAATATTTTGACAAAGTTCCAGCATTGGACCATCCGGCAGCCTTCAAGATAATATCCAAACTAAGACCTTTGGAATTCGCACTAGATGTACTAGCTACACGTGTACTGTGAGCCTGAAAAATTCCAGTATCAATACCAGCCAGAGAGAGTACAACTTTAATCCACCTACTAATAGTGTCTTTAGAAACACATTTGTGAGGTTTCTGAAAACTTATAAAAAGTTTACTACAGTCACCCCTTAATTCAGATGTGAATTCCAAATAATGCTTGATGTAAGTCACAATGCACAATTTTCTATCAGGTGCAAAAGCTTTCAAAATGATTGGTTCTAAATGAGACCCAGGTCGTGTATGTTTTAACACAGAACGTATAAAGATAACACATCTAGAATCTGTTTATTTCATATGATTGATATCAACTAAATGAATTGTTTGTCCTCTTTGACCAGTCAATAAAGCTAACAACATCACAACTTTGAGAGTCAGGTGTTTGAGTGACAGTGTATGACCTGGAAACATCGTCTTCAAGTAGTCTAATACATCACTGACATTCCAAATTAAAGAATGTTTAGGTAAAGAAGGTCTAGATTCAAAAACACCTTTCATGAATTTCTTTACAACATAATGTTTACCGAAAGACAATCCATCTTGAAAAGTTGTAACTGACGATAACGCACATTGAGCAGTGTTTATTGAACTATAACCAAGTCCAGTAGAGAAAAGTTCTGCAAGGAAATTAACACCGTCTTCTAAAGATGGACTAAATGGATTAATTTCCCTCTGCTCACAATAACGTTCCCATCTGTCGAGATGGGTTTTGTACTGTTTTTGAGTCCCAGGTCTCCAACTTTTAAGTATGAGGTCTTTAGCCTGCTCTGAAAACGTTCCCTTATTGAGGGATCGCCAGACAAGTGACAAACCAGAAGTAGTAGCTTTTTGAACATGGGGTGAGGTAGGTTTGGTTCCTGAGGTTTGTCTCCCTTTTGGTAATACCAGTGGTCTGTTCACTAATAATCGAATCAACATTGGAAACCAGATCTGGGTCGTCCAGAAGGGTGCCACCACTATACCTGTACTCCTTTCCCTCTCTATCTTCTGGAGGGCTTGTGTCAGAACACTGAAAGGAGGAAACATATAAAAATTATTACCCCACCTAATGGAGAATGCATCAATAGCGAAGACATTTGGATCAGGCCTATATGCCAAATATTTTGGGAATTGGGTATTTATTCTCGACGCAAAGAGATCAAGATCAGGAGAAACCTGTAGCTTCCTCAAAGCACCTTTAAGAAATTCACTATTTAATTTCCATTCTTTTTCTCGCCTATCTTGTCTACTTTCTCTGTCCACTAGAATATTTTCAACTCCAGGAATGTGTGCTGCAGAAAGCCAAACATTGTTTAATATACACCACTCCCAAATCAATTTTGTAATTTTATTACATGAATTTGAGTGACTAGTACCCATGTGATTGATACAAGCAATGCCAGTAGTATTATCCATCATGACTCTCACATGTTTACTCTCTAGCTTTAATCTAAATGATCTTAATGTCAGTAACACTGCATACAATTCTAAATAATTAATATGGTTATCTTTCTCAATTGCAGTCCAGTTTCCACCAGTAGTACAGTCATTCTGTACACCCCCAACCATTTTTGCTAGCATCAGTATAAATAGTAACATCAGGGGAACCGTGATCAATAACATTGTATGCGAATTTCAATGACTGTACCCACCAAGTTAATTCTTTTTTGGCTAGTGATCCAAGAATTATAGATGCTTCGAAATTACCTTTATTATGTTTCAAAGCTACAGTTTTCTCATTTTCTAAATCTCTGTAATACAATGCCCCATATATAGTTCCAGGGAAACTGGATGTCATTAAACCTAAAACGACAGAAACATCTCTTATTGTAATTTGAGTTTCATTCAATAATTTTTTACAGGCCAGTTCTACTTTCTCTATTTTACTAAGAGTTAACCGCACTGTCATACTGACAGAGTCAATCAAAAGTCCCAGGAAAGTGATGCACTGTACAGGCTTGAATAAGGATTTAGTCGGATGTACTACAAACCCAAGAGCATCAAATAATTGTACCGTATCTATAACTGTCCCCTTGTAAATAACAATCACCGAGGTATGGTACAGACAGATGACCCAGTAATCGAAGTTTAGCGTACACTGGTTTAAGAAGTTTGCTAAATTTTCTCGGGCAACAAGCCAATCCATTAGGAAACATTTTGTATTGATATCTTTCATTTCGCCAGAAAAATCTTAAATATTTTCTATGTTCGACTGCTATAGGACAAGAATAATAAGCATCACATAAGTCCAAAGTACTCATCCATCAATTTTGTTTCACCATTTTTAAGGCGGAACCAAGACACTCCATTTTAAAATGCTGATATTCGACCATATCATTGAGTATTCTTAAATTCAAAATCATTCTGTGTGTTTTATCTTTCTTTTCACGAATAAATATTGTTGAAATGTATTCATCTTGTTTGTAATTAACTTTTTCTATTATACCTTTAGATAAGAGTTTCTCAATTTCCTGATCAATTATGTTTGATTCTGTATCAGAGAAATTAATGTCAAAAGGAATGCGCCTTTGTTTTGGCATATGCTCAAACAATATCCAATATTTCAGGGTCAGATGTTAAATTATTCCAACTATCAAAGTGGTGTGAAATTGAGCCTCCTTTGAACAATGACTTTTTGGCAATAAAATAATTTTTTAGATGTATGAAATTAGAATCTATACGTACCACTTTTAAAATATCTTCTATTTTTCGCTTTTTGGTTTGTGGGCATAGCTTTTCTTCTTGAAGTTCCCCCGACCTCTTTCGCGAAAAGGGTATTTCTGATATCCACCACTGGCACCATGATGACTTTTACTATTGTCGAATTGATTATGGTTGTAGGAGGAGTAATTTCCCTTAGATTTGTTGACAGTTTTTGCTATCAAATTCGTTTCACGAACTTCTTTCATTTCTTTTTGAAGATCGTCTCCAAAAAGTAGTTTGGTTACAGGAACCATCTGTCCACATAATGGCTTGTAATCATCTTGAATGTAAGGCCGAAGGTATTCTCTTCTTCTCAAAGAAATGTCATAATTGGCATGCCCCAACATGCTCACAGCATCTGTGAGTTTTGAGACAAGTTCAGGAGTACCATTCATAGCGACCATATTTGAAGATACTAATTCCAGACACTCAATGACAGCAGAGCTTGCCGAAACAATTGTTCTCTGTATATTAGAAGTGCGAGTATCCAAACCCCTGATAAAACGGTTGAGCTTCGACTTGATGGGTAAATTTACCTCAGACACATAAACACCCTCGCAATTACGGGGTATACTGTATTTATCAATTCGTTCTTGGAGTTTGTCGAATGATAGACGTGTCTCGAATCGTTTAGTGACAAACTTGGCTAATTTATCATTGATGTTCTGTCCTGATTTAGAGCAAAGTTGTAGCTCGTCTTCAACGTTGTCAAGAAAACTATCGAAACTACTACTGGCACCCCCATCACCTTGACCTTCGTCAAGTTGGGAGCGGTTTGTATTTTCCTCATCAGAGTCAGAAATATAGGCCTTTGGCCGATTAACATTAGCCATGGCAATAAAATCTTTTTCAGCCTCATCTGAAGAAGTGTCAGACACTCGACGACGGGCTTTCTTCTTGAGAATGATAAATTCCTCCGGGAGCTTTCGTTTTTCTTCAGCAAGTCCGGTAAAGGCCTCGTTCATGGATTCCATAAATTGTGCGATATGGTCCATACTGGTCTCAATATTCTTGAGAAAAGTGTTCGAAGTTCCAGGCAGACTCAACTGACTACTATCTATCTTCTTAGTAGAAGCCATTTTTTGAGTACCACGAGGCAAATCATCGGAGTCTGAATCAGAAGCAGACGCCAAGACGGGATTTTTTAAACCATCCGCCATTCTAACAATTCGATGAAAAACAATCGAATTTGTTAACAGGAATGATTCGGACAATCAGTCAACGAATCTTCAAACAAAACTTTAGTTACTAGAAAAACACAAAGTTTAAAAGTGTGAATGTTTGACGGAACGAGAGTATAGAGAGACGTCTACACCACTGGACAGCTAAGAGCAAACTGACGGTTACAGCTTTGGCGCTTCTCACGTGACTACGTAGTGACGTAGTCTATGACGAGGTAGAATGACTGATCTCTGTTGCACGTCTTTGATTCATTGGTATCAATATAATTAAACACGTTAGTGTCTTAAATCTACTTTACATTAAACTTTTCTCCTGCTGATTGAGCTTATGAAAAAGAGCAATGTTGCCTTATTGGTGATAATAGGCATTGACGTATATCAGGCATGGGATAACGGTTTAGGTAGAGGTTAGATAAGGGTGGATAGAGTAATAATTAGGCATAAAAGGTCAATGAAGACGTAAGAACGTCGGTCGAGATTAGAGAATCAAAACAGTTTTTAGGGTAAAAGATAGAAAGTGACCAGCATTGATGTCCGATATTATGCCGGGAAGTTTCCCTTTGAAATATGTGTCCCTTCCACCACCACACTTTCAAATTTTTTATCATTTTACATAGTGAAATAATGACTGGTGGCGCCCATTGAAAATTTTGCAGCCCCTGTTTGACCCCCTCACATGATGTTTCCTAGACACGACACTGCTCAGAACAATGCTGAGTGCTCTAACGTAATACAAGTATATATAAAAACACTTGATACACGCAAGGTATATTGAAATAGCAATTCCTTACAAATTGAAAATGAAGGTGTTTTTAAGAGGAAAAAACACTAACTGACAATTTAAAATCAATCAGAACAAAACGTTTGTGAAGTATGTCTGAAACTCTCAAGATATGAAAATAAAATAGACCAGAGTAACAATGGGATTTTTTTTGTTTACATAGTATTAACTAAGTTTATTATTTTCTAATCTCCGCCATGAAAGCATACAGACCTTTATTACTCTCTAACAGAGAAGAGTATGTAACCGGAAATTAGACTTGAGATAACGAGAATATCGTGTAGCTTCACCAATTACACGAGAATTTACGAGAGTATCATGATATGTTTGGGTTGTAAGCGTTGAATGGAAGGAAATTGGAAATATCTTATAACTTATGACCTGCTTATATCAGAGTGGTTTCCGTTCGTGTGAAGCAAGTTCTCTTTTTTCTCAATTAGATTCTGTTCAATAGTCAAGAGTAGAGGTTACAAGAAACTGGAACATAGTTATCTTGACAGCTCAATAATCTCAAGTATAAAACTAGGAGGACGGACAAGAACCTCATTCAATGCATCGAATCGAAACCCGTTATGGAGCCATTGAGAGAGTACCGCGTGCGAAGCAGACAATGGTTTCTCTTTTCGAAACACCTGATGGTACTTCTCTTCAGGTCATCCAGTTTCCAACAGTAACCAAACCAAACCAACGACTACCAATCAAAAAGAATCACCATGATCATGTTGGAAAATCTTTACTTTGTTTGCTAGCACTGGCAAAGTTTTGTAGGAGCGAAATGTTTTCAGAATGGGCTATAAATCAAAAGATAAAGGGCCTACTACTTTTGTGTCATTTTTCCACAGGCCTCCATTTTCTTTTAAGGGAAACGTACCACTCAACTGACATACATGACGTTTTCAGACCACAATATATTTAAATAGACTTGTAGCCTATAATGTTACATTATCATTAATGGAATCACATTCAGTTAATATGACCACAATACATTTGAGGTTAATTTGACGAATGTTCAAGACTCCGGTCGTTAGACCCTACCTTGAAGTGGTTATACTAAATATAGATATTTGAAGAAAAAAAACGAAAAGAAAGTTGGGTCTAATTTTAATTAGACTGCCAACCAACTAAGACGGAAATGAACCCTGGATCTTCAGGTTGGCAAACAAGCTTCTAAGCAATGAGTTGCATGGGTCCCCTAAAATTTTGTTTAGTGAAATTTCGACTAGTAAGGATACGAATATTATGAAGAGTTTAGTGTATAACAAAACGCTTCATTCCAATTTTCTGTAGTATAAATCCCTTCTATGATGGAAAGCGAATTACTGATTTATAATAGACACGCTTCTCGATGATTGACGTTATGTTGCTCTCGTCAGAATTGACATTAATAATGATGACATTATTTAAGCCAGTAAATTAGACGAGACGAGATTACAGTCTCCATTAAAAAAACAACCTGATAATCTTCTTCATAGTTTCCCAGTCAGACGATAACCGCTGTTATTTTACGTCATAACGCTCGTGCTGAAATACATTAGAAACACGTTCTATATAGACGTCTGCTGTTACGTAATGACGTTTCTTGTGCTAATAAATCCCCCTAATGTGAAGAGCAAACAGTGAAATAGTGTATTATGAAATCATTAGAGGGATCTGTTTAGAGATTATAATCAATTAGACTGTAGTTTTCTGTTATTGCTATACACCTCGGCTATAATTATCCAGGATATTAAATTAAATTGTACAATAATTACCTCCCTTGACTACGAAACTAGGTCACTTAGACGTCATTAGACAAAATTATTCGACGATATGTTATTACTATGACATTTGGCCTTTAAATTAGTCACAGACGTTCAGCAAATGATGCAGTTAAAATGCAAGAATTGTCGGCAGAAGATTTTGGGAAAGATTGGTGAAAAAGGAAATAGATCATGCAATACTTTCGAATCTAATCCACAAGTCCGAGAGGTAGGCGAAAGATGTAATTCGTTGTCTAAATATCGGGCTGAGGGAATGCTTAGAAATAAGAGTTTCCAATGATTATTCTTATTAAATCAGTCATATTATTTTGAAACACTACAATTATCTGCCCTTTGTTTAAGGCCTAGATTTGAAGACCACTGGCAAATTACATTCATGACAAATGCAGCCTATATTTTGTAAAACTAAATAAAAGAGACAGATTCGTCATTCGTTTGACATATCTTACCTTAATCTCAGACACGGGAATTTCTTAGATAACCTAATGAGTAATGTTTACAGCTCATCTCTAACTACTCGAAATCGAGCAGACATTTGTATTTAATATGATTCTATTTTAGCTTTAAGCGTCCATTAAATGTTCGCTTTTATTTTTATTTTGTGTTCAAGATGGTGATTTATTCTGCTACGTTATTGTAATGGGGTGAGATTGGTGTGAAATTGGAAACATTACACCATGTTGATGGTTGTATGGAGTAATATTACTTTTTATAATCTCAGTCCGCTCTGATAACAGATTTTATTGGTATATTCTCGCTGTCTTTATAGGCAAATCGTGTTCAATACGTTTATGTCAGTTTCCAGACACATATTGTATACACAGTATCGGTTTTAAACATATTAAAAATTACAGAGGTATTCTAGCCTTTCTTAGTGACATATCAAACTTCGACCGTTGGAAAGAAAGAGTGCTCTTACACTACTGTACAAACTTCGTCTTGTTGCACACATTTAATATTAGCCAGATACAAATCGATGGTTCCCTGTTCGAGAGCCACTCCTCTTTACTGTGACGCTACAATCTATAGTTAAAATAAGATCACAATTGCGTTTCGTTATTTTTTCCCGACTCCATTGTAATCTAACGAGATTTATACCAAGGTCACGTACTGGTAACGTTACAAGCTATTTATATCAGCCAATCACGCGCCACCTTCCCGCCAATCAGAATCACTTTTACAAGCGAATATCGACAGTCATAATTCGTCTTAATTTCGGTAGTCATATATATTCATTATTCGTTTGAAAACGTTTACAATATGCGTCTCCAGGTTTCCAGAAATGGATATATTCTTTTGATGCCTTGGAATCGATATCAGTGTACCCTTATAGTTCAAAGCTTTTACATAAGATTAAAGACATTTTCGATGCGTCTTCAGCTCTCAGCTATAAATATGAGTGTCTTATTGTGGCCTCTTGGGAATATGGACTAATATTTGATATGATACACTCCTATAATAGTTCAGAGCTTTAAACTTGATTAAAGACAAATTCATCATTATTAACTGTGCGTAACTGTATTATTGTGGTCCCTTCCCTTGTGATTGTTGACTCACAATCATTAGTAACATTAAATATGATTTACTTTTAAAATAGTTCATAGTTCTATATTAGATAGACAAGTTCGTCTTTTTTTGAAAATATCTGACTACACCTATAATGTTACGGGTATTGACATCCAAAAGTGATTTTATAATTTTGGACACTTGGGATAGTTGACAATCATGTAAAACCATGTGCTCCTATGTGAAGTTCAAGGCTATTAAATTGAATCAAATATGAATTTTTTCCTAGATGTTTCCGGTTTTCAAAAGTGATTATATTGTTTTGGTCAAAGCTCTGAAAGTAAATATTTAGACGAAATCTGGGATATCATTACCTTTAACATTTAAGGCCGTTATACACCAAATAAGAAAAAAAAGATACGACACGGTAGGACATAACATGACACGGTACGAAGCTACTTGTCAATACATACCCAAATTGACTGAAACACCAAATCCATACACAAGCTAAAATTTAAAGTCGACTGCTGGTGTAAGACAGCTTCGTCATTTTTTTACTGAAAACTAAGTGGACGACATGGAACAACACGACAGAAAATAACAAAATTTATATTTCGATTTGTCATGTTGGAGAACGTCGTGCCGTGTCGTGTTGAAGCGTGTCGTACCGTACTCAGTATGTATTATCTATGAAGTTTATGTTGTTTCTATATTTTTGTTGTGTCGTACCGTGTTATGTTATTTCTGTTGTATAAAGGCCTTTAGTATAGTTTTATTGTAGACAGATCATGTTTAATTGACAGGTATTGTATTTAACAATAGACAAGTCTGTCCAGTACAAGTTTAAATGAGATGAAAATCCAGTATACGTCATATTTATCTATAAACGTTGTATATCAAAATGTAAGGTAAATATTTACCAGTCTGGTATT